TGGATTCGATCAATGTTGTCGGGATTAGATTTTTATATCTTTAGTTTAATTTTCGAGATTCGAAACCCATGCATGAGAAGGAAAATTAGATGTAAAAGTATTTACCCTTCCCTAAGGATCGGATCATTAGTCATTACTATGTCATATTAATGTATTGTTGGGGATGCAAGTAAAAAGAAGCATTTGACTCAAGAAAACTAATGTAGTATTAAAAACAAAAGAATTGATAAGAACACTTACAAGATACCAAATGCACACAGACTCTTTATCTATGTTTTTCTCTATCTCTATCTCTTCATGAACTGTAGGACATAGTGACAATCACCCTATAACTACTAGATCATGAGGTAGTTATTGAAACCACCTTATAACTACTAGACCATGATTGAAGTGGTTATTGAAATCATCATGTAACCACTAGATCATGATAACAATCTAGATAGATAACTATGAATCATATCTCAACACTCCCACTTGATTCATAGTTGTATACATCAATTTGTGACATAAAATAAACATGCTTTCGAACTGGAAGTGATTTGGTGAGGATATCCGCAACTTGTTCATCCGTTCCATAATACTTCATTGTTATGGCTCTACTTGCCTGAAGTACTCTTTCGATCATCTAAAGCTCCTGCACAACCAAATAATTTGCATTTAAACTTTATTTTGAATACCCATTTTAACCCAATCGCTTTCTTTTCTTTCGGTAGATCCATTAGCTCCCAAGTTTCATTCTTCTCAATTGACTTGATTTTCTCCTTCATTGCTTTTCTCCATTCCTCTTTTTTAACTGCTTCCTCAAAAGTTATCGGATATGAAATAAACAAAACAAATGTTGAGTTATAAATTTCTGTTAGTGATCTGAAATTTTTTGGAGGGGTTTCATCTAAGGAATCCGAATTTGAACTACTATTGGGTGAGGTTGACGATGAATTTGTTGGAGCAGGATCTGTCACTTGATTCTATGGAGTGTCTAGTTCTGCTGGAATATGCATTTGTGTTTCACCTTTATTGGTCTCCAAATTCCAACTTGTCCTTTCATCAAATATAACATTTCTGTTAATAATAACTTTGCCACTAACAGGGTTATATAATCGATATGCTTTCGATTGTAAAGAATAACCAATTAAAATACATTTCTCTGATTTTTCATCAAGCTTATGATGATTTTGTGAATTCACCAAAGCATAAGCAATATAACAAAAAATTCTTAGATGTCTAACACTTGGTTTCATACCATACCAAGCCTCAAAAGGAGTTCGATTCATAACAGCCTTTATTGGTGAAATATTCAACAAATAAATTGCTGTTGCAACTGCTTCCGCCCAAAATTGATTTGGAAGATGTTTTCCTTTAAGCAAACTTCTTGCCATTTCAACGACAGTCTGATTCTTACGTTAAACTACACCATTTTGCTCCAGTGTATATGGTGTTGTCAATTCTCTGTGAATACCATTTTCTTCATAAAAAGAACTAAACTCATTAGATAAAAATTCACCACCTCTATCTGTCCGAAGTGTCTTTATATATCTACCACTTTGTCTTTCTACAAGTGCCTTAAACTTTAAAAAATTATCAAATGTTTCAGATTTCAATTTCAAAAAATATACCCAACTCATGCGACTATAATCATCCGTAAACAATAAAAAATATTGTCTTCCACCAAATGATTTTGTATTCATAGGTTCACATAAATCAGCATGAATTAATTCAAGACAATTAGATGCACTCCATGCTTTTCCATTAAGAAAAAATTTTTTACTTTGTTTCCCATAAATACATCCTTCACATACATCAAATGTATTAATCTTGAGCAATCCGAAAATCATTCCTTTTTGACTTAACAACCTTAAACATTTAATGTTAAGGTGTCCATATTTTAAATTTCATAAACTAGACTCATTCTTTTGAGTTGTGATAAGTGCATGCCTTTCAATATTTGACACATCAAGTGGAAACATCTTGTTTTGTGTCATGTAAACATTTACTATAATCAAACCAAATTTTTTATCTCTAATAGTGCATGAACCATCATCAAATATTACTGAATATCCATCATCTACTAATTGTCCAACACTCAACAAGTTATGTGATAAAATAGAAACAAAGAAAATATTATCAAGGTATTTTACCTTCCCTTGATTTGTCTTCACCTTAATTGTTCCTTTCCTTTCCACTTGGATTTGCTTGCTATCTCCAAGTCTAACTTTCAACTTGTGAGTTTCATCAATATCTTTAAATATTGATTGTATGCCTGATATATGATTAGAACATCCACTATCCAGAAACCAAATATCATTTAAGATATTATGAACATGTGAATGAGTCATAAACAACTTACTATTTTCTTCATTTTTCTCCATATAGCTTGCTTGCTTTTCTCTTTTCCAACAATCTGCCTTCATGTGACCAAACTCTGCCACATCCTCTTCCTACTGATTTTTTGTCTTCTTTTAAAGTAGAAGGCTCTCCCTTAACCTGAAATGTTTTTTCTTCACTTTTTTCAAGTGATCTGTTCAATCTTACTTCATGTACTTGCAAGGAACCCATTAGTTCATCAAATGGATAAGTAGATAAATCTTTTGATTCCTCAATTGCAGTAACAACATGATCAAATTTTGGAGTTAAACTTCTCAAAACTTTTGCAACAATTATATGATTAGGAAGATGTTCACCATAAGATTTTATTTGACTAACAATTTCAGTCACTCGAGAAAAAAAATCTTGCACTAATTCATTGCTTTTCATGAACAAAATTTCAAACTCACGACGGAGGGTTTGAAGTTTTATCGTAATCACCCTTGATGAGCCTTGAAATTCATTTTAAAGTATCAATCAAACTTGCTTTGAGGTTGTCGCTGCTGCAATTCATGAGAAGATCGTCTCATGTACAGCTTGTTGAATGAAGAACAATGCCTTTGAGTCATTCTTTCTATTCTCCCTCAGCCTGATTTCGTCATCTGGATCTGCATATCCATTCTCTATTAAGTCCCAAAGATCTTGAGACTTGAATAGAGTCTTCATCTTGATACTCCAAAATTCATAGCTTTTGCCCGAGCCCGAGAAGATGGGGATAAAGGGTTGAGACATAGAATTACCGTTAAAAGCCATAATGCCCAGTTCATATTGAAACTAAGCTCTGATACCACAAATGTTGAGGATGGAGGAGTAAGGAAAAAACAGAATACTACGATGCAAGTAAAAAGAAGCCTTTGACTCAAGAAAAATGATGTAATATTAAAAACAGGAGGATTGATAAGAACACTTACAAGATACCAAATGCACACAGACTCTCTATCTATGTTTTTCTTTGTCTCTATCTCTTCATGAACTACGGTCCTATTTATAGGACCTAGTGACAACCATCCTATAACTACTAGATGATGAGGTAGTTATTGAAACCACCTTATAACTACTAGATTATGATTAAAGTGGTTATTGAAATCATCATGTAACCACTAGATCATGATAACAATCTAGATAGATAACTATAAATCAGATCTCAACATGTACAACCTATTAGGCCTGATAAGATAAGAGAGAAAGGCCTCTCTCGTTTCTGTCAAGAACAAAACTCTCGTCATCTGGTTGGCAAAACCCTTTCTCCCTTTTCTTATTCTTCTCTCAAATCCTTTTTCTTTAACACCATCGTTAAACTTCTGCTATATCTTTCTTGTGTTATATGTATACATATATATATTTATATATACATACATATATATATATTTATTTATTTATTTTTATATATACATACACGGAAAGAAGCAAAATCTGGCTTGTGTCATCTCTCTACGACTCCAATTCCTTGGGCTTTGGCAATATACTTTGAGACACCGTAAACATCAGAAGCATGGCATATTCTGTCAACATGGAAAACTTACCGGTCTGCATCCATGGAAAGTTTTGAAGTGACAGTATATTTCTTGCTCAATCCGATCACTCGTTAACTCTTTTTTTGGGAGTGAACCTTGAAACTATTAACACCGAAACCTCTCCATGGCATACCCAGAATGCCAAAAAATTCTTTTGATCTCGAATACCGTCATCAACCATGAGCATTTTAATATGACTGTGTGTGTTCTTGAGCTGTGGAATTTGACTTTTGGGAGGCAGCAAGAGCTGGAATTAGATGCCTTGAACAATGATGGCGTGTTGCAGGGTTTGAAAGGGAGAAGCATTGCAACTACGTGTGCAAGGACGCTAGTTTTGTGTTCCATATCTCAGAACGAACTATGCGGCTTGGAGAGCTAGCTGTGGCTTATCACCGATACAATCCTAATAATTACCTGTTAATTCAGTTACCTGCTTTAATTCTATCAAACATACTTAGAACGATACGCTTATCGGATCGGATGTGAATCTTGGATCCGCATCAAACCCCAGGTTATAATGTGGTTGCACGCATCTCAAGGCGGTGAATCAAACGAAACATATGTTTGACTCGACGGACGGATTTTGTTGGGAGGTTTTATGATAAAAGGATGTATTAATCCTTCGAAAATATATTCTTACCGTAGCTTTCCCATTTACCGAACAGCTGATCACGATACATGGAAGGGGCCAAATGTACCGAACACCTAATAAATGAAGGAATAAATGCATCGCAACCGGTATTAAATCCGTCACTCTTGTGGGCCTCTGATAGTGCAATATGACAGGGTACGTGAGCGGGTACGAATGCACGCGGGTAGGGAGATGTTTTCTTGCTCCCAATAATAGAGAAAGGAGACGAGGAGCAACCATACACCGGCAAACGAAATCTAGCAAGCAATTCCTCGCATCGATCAGTTTCCTGTAATGGCTCAGACGCCATTCAGGCATTCTACTCGTTTGACTGTCGCGGGTCCATATCTCAGACTGACGGTTCGATGAGAGAGAATTCCTGGACCCTGGATGGATTGTCCCACCATATTTCTTATACTTATCTTTTTAAAACCCTCCGAAAAAGAAATAAAATTGGGCCTCTTTTCCTCCCCTCGTTTGGTGGTCTTGTCTTCGTCTCGGATGGCGTCGCCCCTTCTCTTCCGCCTGCTCCTCCCCCTCCTCTTCCTCTCGGTCTCATCAGGTTCTTCGAGCACTTTACGACTCCAATCCGATGGCGCCTACATCACCGCTGTCGTCTCCGAGAAAGGCCTCGCGTTTGCCAAGGACCTGCTCGTCGAGCGGGCGGTTGAGACTCTCACCTCGCTCCGCATCCGCGACATCGAGAAGTCCGTGGGGATCCCGATCGTGGGCGTGGTCCGTATGGTCGCCTCCAACATTACCCTGGAGGCCATCCATGTCTCCTCGTCGACGGTCCAGCCTGGGGAGTCCGGGATCGTCATCGTCGCCTCCGGCACCACGGCTAACTTGAGCATGGATTGGTTTTATTCCTACACAACTTGGTTTGTCCCTTTCGAAATCTCCGATAAAGGGGGCGCGTTCATTCAGGTATTACCCCACTGATTGCTCTTTGGTGTCGTTATGGTGTCTAAGAATTGGACTTTGATGCATTGTAGCTGTTTCTTCTTTTGTATACTTTAACATGAATTGATTGTTTGGTTGCCTACTTGACATTGCGTAAAATGTACTACTGTGTAGTTTGTAGAAGATAGTCAAGAGAAGTCAAATTGATGTGGATGTACATATCTAACTACGACAAAATCGATTCCTCATTTTTTTTTGTCAAGTGTTCTGCAGTAAACTTCTGATTGATTCTTTGAAAGCTTTCAGTTGGTCAGCATAATTTCGTCTTCAAATTTGCTCGCAGTAATATCTCATTAACTAGTAACATTCAGTGTTTTTTCTACTGTCATCAGTATTTCTAAAGTTTTAGTATGTCATTTTTTTTCTTTCAGAAGTATATTACTTCTTTTTTTATATCCGAGCTGATGTCTGGTTTTGTTGATTGTCTTCCTGTGTTCTGACAACTAGGACTTTTCTTTTATGATTTGCAAGCTGGCACATTCTAGATTCACCACTCTTTTTTCTGCTTTTTGAAGCAAGGTTGAAGGCATGGAAGTTGGATTAACCATGACCATGGAGAATAAAAATGGGACACTGGAACTGTCTGTTACACAATGTGGTTGTTACATGAAAAATTTTGTCATAACCTTGAATGGAGGAGCTTCTTGGTTCTACCAAGGGTATGTGAGATACATCGATGGACGTACATGGATTGAAACCAATTATGTTGCATGATCTGTTTTGTGTTTGATCAATCAATATATTTTTCTTGTTTGGTAATCTTTTTTTAATACCGATATTTTTTTTTCCAAATAAATGGTGTTTTGTTACTGATATATTTTTCTTTCCGAACACAGTATAAACCTGGTTACTACAAGTTTACATTGAACCTAGGTAATAAATCCAAGACCATTTGATGAAGCTGGCTAATTTTATAGAACATTGACCTGATTCTACAATAATAAAGGGTGCACATCTTGTAATTATTGTTCTAAACATGGACAATTAAATAAAATGCAATGTTGGTGTATTTTGACAAACTTCATTAGAGTTTATAAACTGATAGTTTCAAATGATTGGATATGTTTTTATGTCCTTTGTTGTACCTTTACACAGATATAATTTCCAAAGTAACTCTAAGATGTTTGCTATAGTGTTTGTTGGTGATATCATTTTCATCTTAATCATCTAGTCTCACATGGAGGGAGATATAACAAGATAATTAATTGGTTGAAGTCAAACTTGACTAATTGAAGGTAGCCATGGCTTCAGCAGGAATTGCATGTTCTTCCACTGTTCTTGAATTTATAATCATGGATCTGAAGTATGAACTATCACATTTGTAAATCAAGTGTCTTGTACATACTACTTTCTTCATATTCCTACTTATGAGATGTAAGTGTCTATTCATTTGTAGAGAGTCTGAGAGAATGAAGGACTTTATTCTACTTAGAGTGATTTCAAGATAATGAGCTTCTGATAAAGAAAAAAATCAGTTGTGTTGATACTGAGAATCAATGACATTTTATCTTACGAAACAAATTCCAACATACTCATGAATTTTAAATCACTCAATCAAAATGTAGCATAAAGTAGTGAATAACAGGCTAAAAATTATACAAATTAGAGTTAATACTATGATTACACAATAGGCCTCAGGTTTCTTGGGCAAAAACTTGTTATCTGTTAGAATGAATACTCCTTGGTCATGCCAAAATAAGAGAAGTCATTGTGGAATGAAGGGCATTTCTTCAAAGGGATCCAATGTGGAATCATGAAAATGATGACACTTCTTCTAAACTTTGAGTGCTACAAAGGCTTTGGTACTCTAAACTAGTTAGCAGGCACATTTTAATTTTTAACTTTCACAGTGTAGTTTGCTATTCAAAATCATGCTTGGATGGAATTCAGGTGTTTAGCCCAGTTTCAATGGGACCAATTTAAGGACTATGAGGTTACGAAATCATGTGTCTGATTGGATTTAAGGTTTTGAACATTATTTTTCACTTGAGTTTTTGATAGAAATTGGAAAACATTTGGAGGTACGGTGCTAGATATTGTATGGAAATTGATGTACATAGCAGGATGGTCAATTGATGAATTCAGCAAACAAAGGGTTTTTTACATTTTTGGTACTGGTATGAGTGATATCATGGAGAGCGAGGATTAGAAGGAAAAAGGAGAGAGGGAGAGAAATAGCCAGAGGAAGTAAAGAGATCACCTGAAGTTACACTTGTTCCTAGCAGTCACATCTAGGTTTCTAATCAGACATCAATCATGCTTTGTACTATGAGATGCGAAAAGAGTAAAACTCATAATTTTATCAATCTCTTCAAGATCTACATAAGGAGATTTAGCTCATAAATTTAATTTCAAAGGGGTCCATCCCAACAGAACTTTGCAAAAATAGTCAAGTTTGTGGCATGCAAAATTATACTGAAAGAGAAACTTTGATCATTCAAAGCATGAGTTTGATTACATAATAGTTGTTTTAACTAATTCTTTACCGAAGTTAACTCTCATCAACAACAAGTAGATGTTGGGCGCAAAATGCTTCTTTGAGTGGCCACTGAACAGAGTATGAAAAAATTGTCCTGAAGTGTTTACAGCTTAATGAATAGATAACGTTTGACTCTATTCAGAAGTAAAGTTGATATAAACTCATCTAAAATTGAACTTGAGTCAATCTTGTATCATGCTCTTTCATCAGATCAGTTGACACCTATTGTGTCTGCTTTGTAATTTTATATGCTCTTTTCTTCCATGTCAGGCAGCCTTTTTGACTAAATATCTTCCTGCTCCATTCATACTTTCCAGGTTTCTAAATGCTTTTGCAGATCAGATCAGATCTGCTGTAGAGGATGCAATTGTGAAGAAGATAAATGAAGGGGTACTAAAGCTTGATTCATTGCTGAAAACTGTTCCAAACAAAATTGATGTGGACAAAGTTTCTGCTCTAAATGTCACATTTGTGAATGACCCGACTTTCACAAATTTTTCTGTTGAGTTTGATATTAATGGCTTATTCATTTCACTGGACAAAACTTCTGCCCGTGGTTACTTTCAGAAGACATCACAACTTTCACATTCTTGTGATGGGACACAAAAGATGCTTTGGATGTCATTGGATGAATCTGTATTTAACTCAGCATCTGACGTCTATTTCCAGGTAACCTTCTCTTACATCACTGATTAACCTTGCCTGTAGGTAGAGACACTTGAGGAAATTTTTGGGCCATGCTTATTTAATAAGAAAGACATTTGATTGTTATGTGAAGTTCCATAATACTTCTTTTGTGGTTTCAGACCATATCAAACACACAAATATTAGAATTGTCACAAAGAAGCATGTGGTTGTGTGCCATGTATCTATGGTTTTCTTGTCCATGATAAAAAGGCACATATTAGGTATAATAAGAATGTGTACTCATTTTGTACTCTACACTTGCAATTTATTGGTTTTTTTGGTAGTTGACAATGCTAGAGAAAAGTGCTTCATGTCCTGGCTTAAAGAGAAAAAATATCTATAAATTATTTGGAAGAAATGGTTAATTTTCTACAGCCTTTGTTCTATGCTGGTGAATCTATGAGCTTGTAGCAGCATTTACTAGCTTTCACACTGTATCTTTTTTGGTAGTGGTTCAGAATTGACTGTTATTCCCAAACAGAAAGTCCTTATATTTTTATCAACAAAACCAGGTTCCAAAGGGTTCCTTGTTTGACTTCTACACAATCTAATGGCTAACAATTTTCTTCATTCCAGACATTTGCGGAGTTTTTGCTCTCATGTATTATCTTGTGGACGGTTGGACTGTTCTAATAATAAGTTTGAACCAAGGTATGCAATTTCGAATAATACCGCCTGGTACGGGTGGTACGTACCGGTCCGTCAGCTGATCGGTACAAGGACCGTCCGTTATCGGACGGAACGGAATATATATATATATATATATATATATATATATATATATATATATATATATATATATATATATATATATATATA